TTGTGAAATTTGAAATGGAGGATTATTGTGCAGGTCTTCGCTCATCTCACTTAAGTTGAGCCGTGAGGTCAATGTTCTCGTGTTATTGTATCTTTGTTTGGTTCTTTGGATGAATGAGTCTGAGAAAAGATAAACATAAAAGTGAAATAATATTTAGTTAGTAATTTAACAAGAGTGTAAAATAAAAAAAAAACTGCTTACCAAACTCCACAAATGAATAAGGCCGCCTTGCTTTCTGGACATCATGGCTCTGAAATGTTATAGTGAATTCACGCTGAAGCTCCTCAAGAAAACTAAACACTAAAACGGCAGGGTATGATCCTTCACAAACAGCCATAAAACAAACTCCAACTGCTTTAACAAAACTGAAAGGAAAGCACCAATAAATACATGTTACAAATGATTATGTTACTAAAAATTATGCAATGAATTTTAGTTGTCAAATGTTAGGAGCATGAGAAGAGGGGGAAAAAATGAATGACTAAAAAGGTTTTATTGTTCATCAAATAACTGGTTCTTCCTCTGTTTGGAATTGCATTGCATTTTTTGCACAAATATTTTTTCTTTTCAAAAGATGAGATGGAAGTTAAGTCACTTTTTAAGTTATTATTGAGGCCAAACAATGCCAGCTTGAGCATTGTATTACCGAGAAAAAAAATTAATATAATATTTATTATGATGCAAATTTTGAGATAATGGTACAAATAAAGCTACATAAAATGACCGAAAACACCAAGCTAGCAGAAGCCCACCAACATGCCTCTCCTTCAAGCCCAGAGCAGTGTTTGAAATCGCTTGAGTTTTCTAATTTAACAACTTCCTGATGCTTTTACACAAATTAAATAAGATATTTCGTGCAAATTGTACATGAATTTCCGACTGCCAGGCTTCAAGCGTTATGAAAACCGTACCCATGATTCTATGCTTAAATTAATGCAAGCTCGGAGAATTTGTCCACAACAATACAAAACCTTTACAATCGCTTGGCATTTCTTAATAAACACTAAATACTCCGGTGAGGTTTCATTGATAATTTCTGTGGATGTTTGTCGGGAGTTGACTCAGTGTGTCAGAACTTGAATATTTTCTAAGTGTCGAAAACATTGAGATTTCCCTCTATGCCCAAGCTCGACAGTCGCTTCTACTTTTAACCCAAGGCTTTATTTATACAATTACTTTAGATGCCTGAACAAAATAATATCTTATGTTATTAGAGGAATTAAACAGGCTATTTCACGAAAATTGGTCAAAATTTCTGACTACCTGGTAAGTTCTTTGAAAACAGTTCCCGGCTGCCGGGTATCTAGACACATCCTATTTTCTAACAAGGAGATTATTAGCTCTGATCTTCAAAACATGGGTTCTTTTGTTTCATTGGTTGGCACATTTGAATAACAAAAACAATGTTTACAAACAAGAAATATCTCTATACTACTGCTAGTAATAACTATTACAGAGAGTATGAGCTCAATTAATAAAATAAAATTCATGAAATTGTTTACGAACAAGATTTCCGTATTACCCCACACATAAAATATGCACACATGTACTTCAGTCATTAAGAAAGTCAAAAGATCTTACTATATTGAGTGATTTCCACATTTCATGGTACATCTGGTAGGGTACTGATTTGCTTTTCTAGCCAGCGTCTTGGCGTACTTCTTGCTTTCTTTTAGTTCAAAGTGCATATCGAGATCCGTGGAAGCCGACAGCGCCATTCCGTCCGACACCCGAGTGATGATAGCGAAAAGAACCATTTTGGATTAACAAAACAAAACCAAAAGATCCCTGCAGCAATAAATGTAACAATTCACTCGTCTCTATGCTCTTATCAATCAACAGACCACTCTTTCTTTACAGTGTTTTGCCCGCCATTCCAGTCTTTGTTTTTCGGCCATATTGGATTTCATTGATCCCCCACAGGATACCCATCCCAGGCTGACACGGAACTTTTAACAACCGTTATGACCTAGAAGTTATTGAAAGTCAGTTTTGTTTTCGCCTTCCCAATAAACATTTTAATATCAACAGATCAAGAAAGATCAAGAAATAGTCTCTCATGTGCCGGGATATTAAAAATGGCCGAGAATTTTCTTGAAGGTGGGGAACCTGTGAGATCTGTATAATGTTCAGTGGTATTCAATTTTAGTTTATGCGCAATAGCGACAGCCGTCGGGACGTTATACGTATGTCTTACATGACGTCTTGGTCATCTGGTGAAGACGTGCACACGGAAGCTGGCAGAAGATGGTTAAACATTGATGTCTGCATGGTCTGCATTGATGTAAAAAAGTTTATGACAAAACCTTACCTTGTGTCTGTTTTAGACGACAATTCACGATGTCAGAACTTGAACCAGCCTCCACTAGTGCTCCTACGAATTCAACCTCTACAGAGACAACTCAAAACGTTTCAGAAATCCCTGTGAAATCAGATAATCAACAGCACCTGTACATGGACTTCGCAAGCGATGTTCCTCCAGTTTTGCCGACTGATTCACAATTGGGAGGAGATGGAATTAAACCAGATAGTCAAGTAGTGCGAAAGGTAGATCCTCGCCAACAATGGATAAACAAAGACTCGACAAAACCTTACTATTGTAAGCTTTGTGACTTCAATATGGAGTCCATGGAGGTTGGTGCATTCTGGGAAATCTTTCATTTTAGCTTGTTAATTTTTGTGTAGAGACAAGTTCACTTCTTTTACTTAAGTACAGAGTGAGTTATCAACAATCATGTAGAACTGAAAATATAAAGATTTTAAAGATATTTGCTGAAAGGAAAAGGACCATAATGTGGTATTTATTTAGGGAAGTTGCTCCTTAATTAATTTTGTGTAAAGAAGAGACAGAATAATATTATAAGAGAGTTGTTTTATTTTGCCTCCACTACACAACCGAACAAACAAAACAACACTTGGAGGCATGGGCACGTTGGTCAGCC